AGAGAGCTTAGCGAGCGGCGAGCCGACACAGGCGCCATCTTGAATCACGTCACGTCGTCTTGATGATCCATCTGTGATTGATTTTAATCAGAAATTAAATCATGGTACTGAAACATGTTGTTGTTCCACTGACTGAATGATAAGGTACTGAAACATGTTGTTGTTCCACCACTGACTGAATGATAAGGTACTGAAACATGTTGTTGTTCCACCACTGACTGAATGATGAGGTACTGAAACATGTTGTTGTTCCACCACTGACAGAATGATAAGGGACTGAAACATGTTGTTGTTCCACTGACTGAATGATGAGGTACTGAAACATGTTGTTGTTCCACCACTGACAGAATGATAAGGGACTGAAACATGTTGTTGTTCCACTGACTGAATGATGAGGTACTGAAACATGTTGTTGTTCCACCACTGACTGAATGATGAGGTACTGAAACATGTTGTTCCACCACTGACTGAATGATGAGGTACTGAAACATGTTGTTGTTCCACCACTGACTGAATGATAAGGGACTGAAACATGTTGTTGTTCCACTGACTGAATGATGAGGTACTGAAACATGTTGTTGTTCCACTGACTGAATGATGAGGTACTGAAACATGTTGTTGTTCCACCACTGACTGAATGATGAGGGTACGAAACATGTTGTTGTTCCACTGACTGAATGATGAGGTACTGAAACATGTTGTTGTTCCACCACTGACTGAATGATGAGGTACTGAAACATGTTGTTGTTCCACTGACTGAATGATGAGGTACTGAAACATGTTGTTGTTCCACCACTGACTGAATGATAAGGTACTGAAACATGTTGTTGTTCCACTGACTGAATAGGTAATGAAAAATGTTGTTGTTCCACTGACTGCATGATAAGGGACTGAAACATGTTGTTGTTCCACTGACTGAATGATAAGGGACTGAAACATGTTGTTGTTCCACTGACTGAATGATAAGGGACTGAAACATGTTGTTGTTCCACCACTGACTGAATGAAACAGTGTGTGTTATGGAACAGGAGTGATGCAGGAAGTCTCACTGTGTGCTGTCATGTCTCTCCAGGCCACCAGGGGGCGGGGGCGGAGGCCGAGCCGATAGGAGGACATTAAGCTGGATTATGATGACCTGGGTGTTCCTGCTGAAGAGGAAGGAGCTCAGGGAGCAGAGTAGCAGCTCCAAGGAGCTCCTCTCACACACATGGGTTTATCAGCTCTTATAGCTTTTAACCAACGTTAGAAAATATAGCTTTCACTCTGAAAGTCACCAGCAATGTGTGAATGCCTCATGTTTCCTGACTTCCTGTCAGCTCCAAGCCCATTGGTTCCCACTGAAGATGAAGATCTTTAAAAAACATCACAAGTTAGTTTTATTTAGAAAAGTCAATGCAGTCGGTGCAGTTTGAAACCACAGACACACCAACCCAGGCCGCTCAGGAACTAAGTTGGCCAATGAATGCCATATATTAAAGGTGGGGTAGGTAAGTTTGAGAAACCGGCTCGAGATACACTTTTTGTTATATTCCATGGAATGCTCTTAACATCCCGATAGCAATAAATATCTTAAGTGCTTTGACAAAAAATCCATAAAAAAAGTCATCTGTGGAAGCCGTAGTACTGTAAAAAGCACGACCAATCATTTTAGCCGGCCCGGCTAAAATAACTGGATGGCCTACCTGCCTGTCAGCCTTCCATCTGTGCACAAATTTATCTCGTGCCCTCATTGGTCATGTGCGCGTTCGTGTGTGTTGGAGGAAGGGCTCTATAAGGAAGTGGGAGATTGTTTCCGGCTGTGTATTTTCAAATTCTAGCGCACTCGAGCTGGTTTCTCCAAAATTACCTACCCCACCTTTAATGTTCAAATATCCTCTAAAAACAGTGTTACAATACCCAGTGTTTGAATCTAATGTAGTGATTCCTGAGATAACAGGAGCAACGCGTTACAGCGCCACCTAGTGTTGAATTTGTAGACCTCGAGCAAAACAAAGTTTTTTTATATTTTTATATCAACAAATAAGAAAAAGTACAGTTTATAAAATGTTACGTTTTTCACAACAATTCATTGATCAGCGAGATGGGATATTTGATCCCCTTGTTGGTCACATGGGTCATTTTAGCAGCAGGAACAGATTTAGCTGAACAATATACAAATAGGAATTGAACAAAAGCAAATAATCCGTACACTTCTTATTTCATAACAATTCTGAATTATTCTGAAAAATGTTATTTCAGAAGAATTCAGCTTGATTTTGGTCTGAAGAGATTGTTTATAAAAAAAGAGAAATCCGATTATATTTGTAATTTGCCAAAATGTATAAGATTTTAACTTTCTTTAATTTTCTTATTTCACGTGTACTGAGCTCAGTTTTGTAATCATTTTCAATCATTCAGTATTTTTCTTACTTTATATGAATTTTAATTACATTTTTGATGGTATTTGTCTGTATTTTGTAGTAATTTAGCTGTTTTTAAGAACTCCACCTATTGGAGAGCATTCCCAAATGTATAAGATATTAAATACTAACATGTTGTAATTAAAAATGTACATCATTTTGTAGAAGTTTCCTTTTTAAAAGATAATGTGCTTTGTTATGTGATCAAGAAATGTGCTTGTTTTTGTATTATTGAGGATTGTACTTATTTCACAAGATGATCAATAATATGTGATCATTACTTTTTGGACTTTTATGAAACATTTTAATTTCTTTAGCATTTCACTTTTTTCAAAGAACTCAGATTATTTTTGTGATTTAGGATTTTCCCAAATTCAGGAGACTAATTATTTCGTACTTAAAATGTTAACATTGTCCGTAAACAAGTGTTGTGATTTTGGAACCGAGAAATGTTTTTGCTTCATAAGAATTTTGATTGATTTTGATTTTGTTGAGACTTGTTTTGTTGAAAAATATTGACCATTATTTCGTAATTTTCTTGATTTTGTTATGAAGAATGTTGCTTTTTTTAACACATTTTTTTGTTGAAGATTTTTCTTGATTTCTTGATGATTTTTGCATCACAAATTCTACTTGAAAAAATTAAGAGTTTTGACCAATTTGGTTTCCATGAGATTACGATGAAGCAAATCGTCTTAAATTCTGAACACAGCAGAATCCTCCAGAAATCATGACGATGTTCAACATCACTGTAATAAATGCTGTCATTTGCTATGTACCAAAAAAATAATAAAACTTCTTTAATAATCCATGAAACTCTGAGAGTGAGCTGATTTCAAAAGTGTTTCTCCTGGTTGGAAAATGATGTGTTTGCTTTGTTTCTGTGTTATAACTAAACCTCAAGGCTTTAGTTATAACAGGTTAGTATTGAAGTAATCTCTGTGTCAAACAAACGTTTATGATTCTTACACGTTTAGTTCAGCAGAATAATCTCCACATATTAACACCACTTTAGGATTTCTGAAGTAAAAAGCTAATGTTGGGCTATAAAGGAACTACAGCTCGGTCACATGACTTCACGTCACCACCGCTAAGCTAAAGGTGGCTAATGTTGGGCTATAAAGGAACTACAGCACGGTCACATGACTTCACGTCACCACCGCTAAGCTAAAGGTGGCTAATGTTGGGCTATAAAGGAACTACAGCACGGTCACATGACTTCACGTCACTACCGCTAAGCTAAAGGTGGCTAATGTTGGGCAATAAAGGAACTACAGCACGGTCACATGACTTCACGTCACCACCGCTAAGCTAAAGGTGGCTAATGTTGGGCTATAAAGGAACTACAGCGCGGTCACATGACTTCACGTCACCACCGCTAAGCTAAAGGTGGCTAATGTTGGGCTATAAAAGAACTACAGCACGGTCACATGACTTCACGTCACCACCGCTAAGCTAAAGGTGGCTAATGTTGGGCTATAAAGGAACTACAGCACGGTCACATGACTTCATGTCACCACCGCTAAGCTAAAGGTGGCTAATGTTGGGCTATAAAGGAACTACAGCACGGTCACATGACTTCACGTCACTACCGCTAAGCTAAAGGTGGCTAATGTTGGGCAATAAAGGAACTACAGCACGGTCACATGACTTCACGTCACCACCGCTAAGCTAAAGGTGGCTAATGTTGGGCTATAAAGGAACTACAGCGCGGTCACATGACTTCACGTCACCACCGCTAAGCTAAAGGTGGCTAATGTTGGGCTATAAAAGAACTACAGCATGGTCACATGACTTCACGTCACCACCGCTAAGCTAAAGGTGGCTAATGTTGGGCTATAAAGGAACTACAGCACGGTCACATGACTTCATGTCACCACCGCTAAGCTAAAGGTGGCTAATGTTGGGCTATAAAGGAACTACAGCACGGTCACATGACTTCATGTCACCACCGCTAAGCTAAAGGTGGCTAATGTTGGGCTATAAAGGAACTACAGCACGGTCACATGACTTCACGTCACCACCGCTAAGCTAAAGGTGGCTAATGTTGGGCTATAAAGGAACTACAGCACGGTCACATGACTTCACGTCACCACCGCTAAGCTAAAGGTGGCTAATGTTGGGCTATAAAGACAACCTGGTCTCACCAGAATACGTGAAATGACCACGACTGTTTACACAGTCACGTGTGGGGACTCGCCTCCCTTATGGGGACAAAATGGAGGTCCCCATGAGGGAATCATTAATTTTAGGGTGAAGACTTGGATAGGTTTAGGGTAAGGGTTAGGGTTAGGCATGTATTGGTTATGGTTAAGGTTAGGATAAGTCTCCAGGAAATGCATGTAAGTGGTGTGTGTGTGTGTGTGTGTGTGTGTGTGTGTGTGTGTGTGTGTGTGTGTGTGTGTGTGTTGGTGCGGCCGGATTATGAGGACTATTCGCATGGATACACACCAGCATTATAAGGACATTTCGACTTGTGAAGACAAAACTGGTGTCCTCACAAGTCGCGCAGTGTAGAAGCACTTATCAACATATAAATAAAACCCTCCCGCTTTTTCTCTGTATGTCCTAATAAACCGCCTTCACCTGATTTTTCGTGTATATTTGTGTGTGCTCGTTGTGTATAAAACGCTCGTACAGCCGATTCATGTTCTATTTCGTATATGGCTTCGCCCTCTAAGGCTATCGCTATTGGGTAATCCCCCTGCGCACCCGCGCAGCACTGAAAACACTTGTAGTCCACGCCCGCCCGCAAGGTGGGCCCCACCCTCGGGCTCCCTTCCGGTATAAATAGGAAGGGGACCCGACAATCTGCTCCCTCTTTTTCTTCAGCACCCCGTTACTGAAGCACTGAGACGTATATCCGAGAAACCATGAGCAACAATTGTGTAAGACATTGTCCCTCATGTGGAACCGGCTATATTTTGAGTTATGATCGGCACACTGAATGCGAATTCTGTCTGGGGCCAGAGCACGTGTACGCGGCTCTCAGCCAGCAGGTCGCATGCCAGGACTGTGCCTGTCTCCCCTCGGCCGACAGGAAGCGTTGAGCGGACGCTCTCGCTGCTGCGACCGAGGAGGACGATTCGTGCCCCTGGAGCCGACACGTGCCCCTGGAGCCGAGTGCCGGGCAGGAGTCGGACGACTCCTACCCCATCTCCCTCCACGGTTCACCGTATGGTTCTCCCCTCCCTCCTCTCCCCCGGACGGGGGAGACAGAGTCGGAGCAGGGTGTCGACTTGGCCGAGCACGCGGTGCCCTTCTCCGTCACCACGGCGCTGCCGGCGATAGGTGGCATCCTGCTGGAACTGCCGGGGATCATCTGCAAGGCGGCCGCCTGCAGAGGTCTCCCCGTTCCCCCAGCTCAGGAGAGGAGTGCTCCGGACGACATGGCCGGAGTTTTTTCGCGGGTGCAGACGGTCAGGAGTGACCCGATCTGGCCACGCTTTCCCGCCATCAGGAGGTACCAGGAGGGGGCGGCGGCGAACCCGAGGACTCTCAAGGCCCCGGTGTCCACGTTTGTTCCCCTCACCAAGGTGGAGGGTTTTACAGATGTGGGATTCCCAGCCACCCCTTCGCTGGAGCCGGGCCTGACGGCGTTTTTTGGGGTAAGGCAGGCCAACATGATCGCCGGATGGCGCCCTACGTTGGCCTCCCCCAGGGACCAGTATGTTGCCCGCCAGGCCGACCGGGTGCACCAGTGTGCTTTTCAGGCGG